CTGGACCCAGCGGCCTCAGCGGCCTGCCCCTTCTGCCCGGGGGTGCTGGCCGAGGACATTTTCCACGCCTTCCTCGACTGCCCCCGGCTGCAGCCTCTCTTTGCCGCCCTGGAGACGCTGCTTCGGGGGCTGGGCCGAGACTTCTCCGAGGACGTCTACATCCACTCCTTTCCGTACCGGGCGGCCGAGCGGGCCACGGTCAGCCTGGCCAACTTCCTGCTGGGCCAGGCCAAGATGGCCACGTTGAAGAGCCGGCGGAACCGGCTCACCGGCACCGGCATGGTCGACGCCTTGCAACTCTTCCGCCTGCTGGTGCGGGCCCGCCTCTCGCTCGAGTTTGAGCACGCTGTCCTCCGGTGGACGGTGCCCGCCTTTGAGGAGCACTGGGCCCTCGAGGGGGCGCTGTGCCGAGTCGAGGCGGGACGCCTGGTCCTCGTGCTGTGAGACCACCAGCTGCTCAAGCTGCAGGGACGCCTCAAGAGGGGCCGAGGCCTTGGACTTTGGTTCATGCGGGGCGACCCCTGAGGCCTCATGGGTGTCCCCCGCTGGAAGGACTGTAAAAAAGTGAATATAGTCCGAATGTTTGTTTGTGGTTTTTTGTGGGGGGGTGTGTGTGTGTGTGTTGTTTTGTTAGTTTAGAGTGTACGGGCAGGCCTTGCAGGCCATGAGCCCAGGCCTCGTCCATGAGGCCCAGATATCCGGGCGTACCTGTACATGCTCTTTACTAGCTCCGAGTGATCACCCACCCGGGAATAAATGTCTCTTAAAAGTCTTTCTTAAAAGAAGATGTGCACATCTGCAGGGACACAAACACTTACTGCCTGATGTAGGCTGACTGACTACCAGTTGTGGTAGAAGCAGCCCCATTGGGAAGGAGCAGGTTTGCACTATGAAATGGGGCAAAATGAAATCTCCTGAAGGTATGTTGAGGAGAGAAGACACAGAATCAAAGCCTGAAATTCGAATAATTGATTTTGGAGTGCAGAAAGGGGGACAATGGAATGGAGACTAAACCTGCTTCGTGTCTTAATAGCGCTAGATACTTGCTTTGCCTTCCACCATAATTCAACACTTACTTCGAGAAGGCATATTTTATTCTAGAAAACACAGGAGCTCATAAATTGTTTGAAAGCTTGTTTGGGGGGAGAGGCTGTTAGGCCTACATAGCTGGCTTTTCTGGTTCTTGTGCAATGACTGGCCCCAGGGAAAACAACTCATGGTCCTGACCTTTTTTGGAGTGCTTGCACTGTCATTTTGATTAAAGAAGGTTTACTGCCGTAGGCCTGTTGCAGGTTACCTGCTCCTACTAGAAGCCCTTATCTTTAGAAAACTATACTGTGAGAGAGAGAGAACATTTGTCAGCACGGCTTTAAATAATTTTGACTTGGGGGTAGGGGGAGGAAAGGGGGACAACAAGAACTTTTCTTTAAGAGTTTGGAAAAGGGGGAGAGAAGGGCCAACTAATTTGCTAATCTGCCAAGTGTCATTTTATGAAACAAGTATTTAAAAAACCTATGTGGACATATATATCTTTGAAGGTGAACTCACTTGCTCAATTGGGATGTATTCATCACTTTCACCAAAAATGAAGAAAGTGGGATGGAGCAAACTGTACCGATCTTCAAAGTATTTAATTACTCCTAGAAAACATATATTTTAAAGAGATTTAAAATGCATTGTTCAGTCTTAATGCAAAATCGTCATAGGTAGATTAGAGATAGGGGGGACTGGATCTGGACTCCAACTGTGAGGACACAAGGAATTGAGTCTAGTGACTTGGCCTGTCTCTAAAATCTTTCATATTGGCATGTGTCCACACAAGTAAAAAACATATCTTTACCTTTGGGACAGACAGCTCCATTGGCTGGGAAAATGGGAAAAGTCAGCATTGCAAATGAGCATTGTCAAAGCCCAGGATTAAACAACAAAATAAAGTGACAAGCTAGTTTACCACTTCCTGTACTGTTACTCTTGGTGCAGAATTATACAGATGACTTCAGGCCAGCAAACACACACATGGTTGTTTCCTGCTTTTCCAAGAAAATGGTTCAGAAGTCTAGACTGACCAAATGCAGTTAGCTTATTATTTAAGATAATTAAGACCATAATCAAATGAAGGGTGTAAACAAACATCACTGTTGTACTGCCAGAGGCCAAGCAAACAGACAACCACACCCCTTGTCATGCCACAAATGCCTTAAATTTGTGGCTGACACAGAAGTGCTGTGTATTTTGGCAAACATGTTTCCTTTAAATGGTAGAGCACAGGCAGTCTGGAGCTGCCTATGCTTTCCAGCTGCCCTGGGCAGGCATTCCTGGGGCTTCAGGGGCTTGATATCCAAATCGATTTGGAGAGATTCGGAAAGATTTGGCGATTCAGACATAGAGATAGCTTTAAATGGTTTTTCTACATACCTCTAGGTAGTAAGGGCTCTTGAATGCTGAGATGCTGGGGCACATGGAGCGTCCCACAGAAGCAAGGGGAGCTCCCCAGTGCGCTGGGAAGCAGACCCAGAAGTGGACCAGAAGCACTTCCGGTCCACTTTCAGGTCCACTGGGGAGCATGCTTACAGCCAACATTTTTGCAACAAACTAACCATATGTCATTAGGTTTTCTAAAGATGTTTCCATACAATGTATTAATACTATGCAATTTTTTTCCCAGATTCTGACTTTTAGTTTTGAACAAAACCCTCCTCCCCCCACCCCTACCTGTGCTGTGTTCCAGCAGGTCCCATCTACACTGCAGCCTGGGACACTGAGCATAGCCACAGCCCACCCCCATAGCAGTGGCATGTAGCCCTTATAGCTGCTATGGGGGCTGGGCTACAGCCATGCTCCATGCGCCATGCTAGAACAGGGAGTCTACTGGCACAAAGCAGAGTCTGGGGGATAAGCAGGGAACAAAAGCCAGGGAGGAATAGAAGCTGTGGGGGAAGCAGAGTGTAGAGGCTGAGGGAAGGGAGGAGTAGAGGTTGGAGAGAAGAGAACATCAGAGGTGGCGGTGGGGGGTAGAGGCTGGAGGAAGTAGGAACCCAAGGCTGTGAGGGGGCAGAGGTGGCAGGGGTCCAGGGGGCAAGATACATGACCCTCCACATACTACCTGCTTCCCCACTGCTTGCCTCCCTGCAGTGGTGAGAGGGATGAATTAGAGACAACCACCCAATAATTAGATTCTGCATGTGGAAAATTATACCAAATTTATAAATTTTCCATGTATAGAATCTAATTATTAGGGGTTATCTTAAACTCAGGGTCATTTTAGATTTGAGTATACACAGTAAAATTGTTATGGGCCATACATAATAATAATAATCAAACTACATGCTGCAATTTTGTGTGAGTGCCCATTTTGACATGCCTTCTATACCTACCATGGACTGATACCCCAGTCTTTAATTCAGGATTTTTCAGCATCAAGTGATGAACAGCCATTCCTCCCCAGCAAAATCCAATAACACCAACCTTCTTTGCACCACATTGCTGCTTTAGATACTTCAGGACAGCATCAGCTTCCCTAAGACGCACAAAGACAAGTAAAGGAAAGAACTTAGTAATTTGACCCACAGACTTCCATAAGATTTGTTCTTTTTTTAATCTTCCTGCATTCGTTTCATTATATTTTAGAGTATAATTCTACACTTATTTACTCAGGTAGAGTTCCTCTTGAGCTCAACGGTCGCTGTGTACACATGCTGTATGCTGAATAACCATTCTACCTGTCTACTCTGCTGGCATCTCGAGTTTTCAGCCAGTCATTAAAAATGGACCAATCATCTGAAGGTTTCCAAGGCTCTTGTCCCACAAAGTAGTCTGGGCAGATAGCTCTGTAAGAAAAATGGCCACACGTCTAAGTCCATGGACTTTTAATTCATTTGATTTATTCAATACTGATTTCACAGAATTAGAATGTACATTTTTCATTTTTTTTTAAAACTAAAAACAAATATTTGACCAAATTTCCAGAGGACAATGACCTATTAGAATTTGTTAAGAACCTATTCACTGTAATGAAGAGTTTCCTACCAGTGTCCCTTCACACACCCTATACTTTACAAGGAAAATAATTATGAACTGGAAGCTCATACCCGAATAATAAGGCAACAAATATTTACAGTATTTTTTCACTATTTCTTAAAGGATTCCTCTCATGAACTCTGAATCAGCACTTATTTCTTTGGCAAAATTCCTCTGACTTTACTAAGAGGTTTGCTACAATAAGTAATGGCAAGTAGAGCTTACAAAGAATAAGGATGTTTAAAGAAAACTAAAGATACTTTAACTAACTCCTTTGAAGACTGAAAGTCATATAATTTTGTTTCTCTTTCTTTTTGCATCCTACATTGTCTACTTATCACTGAGTTGCTTGTCAATGATGCACTGTATGCAATGTTTTTAAACTATAAGAAGCCTGTGCAGAAAAAGAACACATTAGCAAAATTTATTGAGGTGTATGTTTGGATATATGTGGTCTAATGAAAAGTGCATACAGATTTTGGCCTAAAGAAAAATATATACAATTTTTGGCCTTGCATCTTTGACAGTTTCTAGTCAAGCAGGAAAGAATTAAATCTCATACATGTATCCATTGGCTGCCAACATGTCCGCTATATATCTGGTGTTTGGCAGTTGCCATCCAAAAATATCCTGAATCACAATTACAGCCTTGTCTGTGCTAGAGGATGGCTTGCAAATGTATGCCCTGATGTGCTCAACTTGCACTTCCTGCCCAAGGCCTCGATAGTCAAATCTGTCTCCAATGTTGCAAAGGCAAGGTCTCTCTTCATTGGCCATGTGGAATCCTAATACAAAAATGGGAAAATAAATAGTAAACTATGAATGTTTACAGTAACATGCACAGGGGGAAACATCGGTATATTATGGGGTAATATTACCATAAATAACAGAAATCTTACTGTGCACACCATTAATTTTGTTAAAGTCTGACCATCTAATGCTTCTCAATAGCACTCTGGTTTTGTATGTGGTTACTTAGACTGTAGGGGATAGTTCCTCACCCAATGGGATCCTGGTCCATGTCTACGGCTCATGGTGCAACAGCAAGTGTGTCAAACCTACCTTGCCCCTGGGCTGGATCTGGACTGCAGGGCTCTCATTGTCTGAATCCAGATTCAATGGCAGCGGTGGGACAAGTGGAGGTGGCAACAGGTGTCACTCATCCCCTTCCTATAATACATTTCACCGACAAGGCTTCATGCCCCAGATTTTGATGACAGTTCTCACCCCCCAAATCCTGGCCCCTCTATAAGCCCCACAGGCCAAATAACACAGCTCTGTGGGTCAGATCCAGCCTGTGGGCCATAAGTTTGACACATCTCTACTACAGTAATGTGAAACCTGTACTACTATTACTACTACTACTACTAAAGTTGAGAGTAATATTTGCCTCTGTAATGCTTAACTTTTTTGGCTGGTGGGCTAGATGAGCAGTGCCCTGTTTGTTGGCAAGCTGGATCCATACAGTGGTCCGGATCTGGCACCTAGGGTGGTGGTGGGACCCCATCTGGCCATGCAAGAGGAAGCAGGGGAAAACCTGGCTACAACCCAGGCCTATGAGGGGAGAAGGGGCATGGCCCAGCCTCAATTGATCTGTTGGGGGAGGGGGAGCGTGGTTCAGCCCTTATCGAACCATGGGGGAGAAAGGAGGTGTGGCCTAGCCCCATGGGGGAAGGGAGCGTGACCCAGCTTCAGTCCATTGTGTAGGACTTGGGGGTTTGGAAATTTGATGGTGGGGAATGGTGGCAGTATTAATGCCCTGCCACCAAATTTCCCAACCCATAGGGAGCCCTGCAGGCTGAATACCATGGATCCACAGGCCATGTTTTGCCCATGAGCTGGAGTTGAGCACCCCTGATCTAACTAGATTAGATCATCACAAACTAGTAAGTTGTGATGAAATACATTCTTTTATGTAAATTCAGTAATTCACAGTAGAAATTAATCTCTATTTGAAAGCCTTGATATGAGATGCAATGCTTTGGGGATGAATAATCTATTATGAGGTAAAAATAACTAAATCTTGATTAAACTTAAGACACTTCTATGTAGAGATTTAAAACTACTTTGAACTTCCAATAGCAGACCCATCAGTTTGCAGGAGTTCCATTGCCAAAGCATCCTTAATAGAAGATTACTTTGGAGAAAAGTATATATTTTAAACAAATAATGTGTCATTATGAATATATTTAATGAATAGTCAAGGAGGTACAACATACTACTTTACTATTAAAGATGTGGTACATTCAAACTGCCTTGGTAAAAAGTCAGCATGAAGTGAAATTCTTTCAGTTGGACCAAAATGTGAACTGTGGCCTGAGGGTTAGCTATTATGCAGAGAAAGTTCAGTATAAATAAATGATTTGCAGAATCAAAAAAGAACAAGCAAAAAATTAGTACAAAGCAAACATTTTGTCCTAAGACGTTTGTTACCAAAAACGCAATACTGTTTAGTCATTAGACAAGACTATAGCTCATCTACAATCAAGACTGTTTTGCAACTTAGACATAAATTAAGGGACAGTTACAAATTCCTTACCCTTCTTGTACACCAAATTAAGATACAATTACATTTCCCAATAATCCACCATTCCCTCTTAGCAGGTAAATTGTTAGTACCACCCAAGTCAGATAAAGAGGCAAGACACGGATAAAGAAGCAAGGTCTGTCACCCAACCTTTTATTGATGCACCTCAAAGCATGAGGATGAGCATTTGTTTCTATGCCTATTTAGCTATCTGCGACACCACAATATAGATTCTCACCTATGCCAGCTGGGGGAGAGGCAGGAGGGAAGAGGAAGGTGGCTTGCAGGCTGGTAACAGGCTCCCTTGAATTTGCTGAGGTCCCCAATCCCCTCTCTGTTTATACTCAATATTTATATATGGCTTATTTAAATAAATATTCTGATTGGTGTTATTCAAATTTCTTTGTTTTACTCAGACTTTGGGAACTGAACTGAGCCAGTTTTTCTGTGGCCTTGCAAAATGCCAATTATCTGGGGTCTGTGTCCTTCTGAAAAGTACAATTTTGAGAAAGAGGGGGCTTCTTATCTCTCTCCCTCACCATCTGGGAATGCTACTTGCCATGTTCTGTTTTTTGGTTTTTTTTACTTTGCTGATTAGGCTAGTTGTGACACATCTGCAAAGGTCCACTCTGGAACCTTTAGCCACACTTCTGCAGCTTAGCGTAAATCACTTGAAAGTGGCTAAGGCTGATGATGGGTTAACTAAGTGCAGCCTATGCCCCTCATTTTTGTAGGGTAACTAGGCTCCTGAAAAATATGTCAAGGTCTAGAAGCTTTGGCTTTTTTTTTTTAAAGAGCCTGCTTTTCCGTTCTCCGCCCCCCTCCCCCACTTTGCTGCTGTGTTTGCAAAAAGAAGTAACTCTTTAAGACTTTGAAACAATATAAGAATAACCATTTACAAGCTAACTGTTAACCACAGCTAACTGTTAAGCATTAGTATAAACAGGAGATGTCTGTGTTTCTTTCTTAATGTGTTTAGGAACAGACACAGATATTTCTAACACCATAGCTAAGATTGATTATAAGTTAACATAATGTCTGGAGAACCATAAGTTCAGGTCATGGTAGAAACCATGTGATAGTCTAGACTGGATACGAAAGGAGAAAAGGTCTATATTTGAAACAGAACAGGTATAGGCTGACCACAATGAGCCCCTTTTTGATCTGGAAATAACCTGCATATTATTGTTAAAAGCTTAGTAATTTGCTGACTATACCCAAGAACAGATGGCAAGAGAGGAAAAATAGGAACCGAAAGGAGGCAACCACAAGAAGTGGAGATGGGATGTGGACAAGGATCAACAACTGAAGAGGTGGTAAAATTTGATTGGATAACATCAAGCAAAGAAAGTGTGAGTTATAAAATAGAAGATTTTGTGAAAAGCAATGCAACACCAAAGACACCACTGTGCACGTGCACAGAAGCCCCCTTGCCTGACGACTTAGCCTGGCCAGCAACATTGCCAAGCAAAGACTACTCATCCTATATGTAATATATCTGATTATTTAATTTTGCTTTGTTTAATGTGTCAATGAATCTGATCAGTTGTGAAGCTTCCTCCCTTACATTGAGCTCTACTCATCTCAAGAAGTTTATGGGCCAACAAGAGGTAAGGTGCTGCTGGACCTGGTACTGACCAAAGGGGATGATCTAGTGAGCGACCTGAGAATTGAAGGGAAGCTGGGAGACAGTGACCATGAATAGATCACTTTCTCTATCCACTGCAAAGCTGGCAAATCAGTCATCAATGCAGAAATACTTTACTTTAGGAAAGCCGACTTTCACAAGCTCAGGAGGCTAGTTGTTGAGGCCCTGAGAGGCCATGACCTGACAGGGAGGGGAGTCCACAATGAGTAGTTGCTCCTTAAGGATGTGAGCCTTGAAGCACAAGGGAAGTCCATTCCAGCCTGTAGGAAAGGTAGCAGAAGGGCTGGGCAACCCCCTTGGCTCAATAGGGAACTCATGGACCTCCTGTACCTTTAAAAGAGAAGCTTATAAAGGATGGAAGTCAGGAATCACCACTACGGAGGAGTATTCAGCACTGGCCCACACCTGTAGGGAGCAAACTAGGAAAGCCAAGGCTGAAACTGAACTCAAACTGGCTACAGGAATCAAGGACAATAAAAAATCCTTCTTCAAATATGTGGTAAGTAAAAAAACAAACAAACAAGGGCAACGTTGGATCCTTGCTAAACTAAATGGGGCAGCTGATGACTGATACCTAGAAAAAAGCCAATCTCCTTAACAATTACTTTGTGTCAGTCTTCCACCAGCCCAAGGGGATCACCCTGCCTGACAAGATGCAGGATTACCAGGGTAAGGGTGAACATATGCCCATCATTGGGATAGATCTTGCGAAGGAATACCTTGAGAGGCTGGACATCCACAAGTCAGCTGGCCCAGATGGAATGAACCCAGGAGTGCTAAAGGAACTGGCTGATATCATAGCACAGCCAGTGGCGAGAATATTTGAGAACTCGTGGTGCTCAGGCGAGGTACCTGAAGATTGGAAGACAGCCAATGTGGTGTCAGCTTCAAGAAAGGGAGTAAAGAAGATCCGGGGAACTACAGGCCAATCAATTTGACCTCAATCCCTGGACAGATATTAGAAAAAATCATCAAAGAAACCATCAACAACAGGCTAATAGAAGGCAACATTCTGAGAGAGAGCCAACATGGCTTCATTGTGGGTAGGTCTTGCCTGACCAATCTCATTTCCTTCTATGACCAGGTGACACATCACCTGGACAAAGGAGAAGCAGTTGATATCATGCATTTGGACTTCAAAAAAGCCTTTGACCCGGTGTCCCATGATGTCCTCGTGGTAAAATTGGGGAACTGAGGCCTCAACAACCTTACAGTCGAATGGCTGGGGAACTGGCTCCACAGTCGGACCCAGACAGTGATAGTTGATGGAACTGAATCAACATGGCACATGGTGACCAGTGGTGTGCCCCAGGGCTTTGTACTCGGACCTGTACCCTTTAATGTTTTTTTAATTATCTCAACTCTGGTGTCAGAAGCAGACTGGCTAAATTTGGTGTCATCAGCAAACTATGTGGTAGTGTGGTCACACTAGAGGATAGGTTGGTGATTCAGGCTGACCTTGACAGGCTTGCAAGGTGGGCAGATCAAAACCTGATGGCATTCAACACCGAGAAATGCAAGGTGCTCCCCCTTGAGAGAAAAAACCTACATCATACAGGCATGTCTCATCTTACGCGGGGATTACGTTCTAAAGGCAAAAAATCATGTATAGTGAAATTGCATATTACTGTGCCAGCAGTGACTGCCTCTGCCTCCAAAACCTCCTGCCACTGCCGCAGAGCCGTGCTTAATGCTGTGTGGCTGGTGACAGCAGCGCAGCGTGGGGTGGGGGTGGGGATGGCTGCGTGGCACCCGGCCACCACCACGCCTGGCAGCTGGCCACACAGCTCCGGGCACAGCTCTATGGCAGTGGCGGGGGTTTTTGGAGGCAGAGGCAGTCACCACTGGCAGCGTGGTGGTGACCCGGCCTCCAGGTAAGCGGCAGCACCACGTGCAGACTCAAGCCCTCCCCCCCCGCATATAGTTGAATTCACTCAAGTTAAATGCGCGTATGATGCGACATGCCTGTACTTATAGGCTCGCAGTGCTATACTCACACCACAACTGGGGGTCATAGTTGACCACAAGATGAACATGAGCCACCAATGCAATGCTCCAGCTGACAAAGCAAACAAACCCCTGGCTTGCATCTACTGATGCATCTCAAGCAAGACCCAGGAAGTCATCCTCCTGCTTTACTTGGCCTTGGTGAGGCCGCAGCTGGAGTACTGCATCCAATTCTGGGCTCCACAATTCATAAAGGATATGGAGAAGCTTGAGAGAGTCCAGAGGAGAGCCATGTGTATGATTAGAGGACAAGAGAGCAGGCCTTATGAGGAGAGGCTGAGACATGGGACTCTTCAGCCTGGAAAAGCATAGGCTTGGGGGGCACTTGATGACAGCCTATAAGTACATAAGGGATGTGCATCAAGAACTGGGAGAACACCTGTTCACCAGGGCACCCCAAGGGAAGACAAGGTCCAACAGTCACAAACTCCTGGAAGACCATTTTAGGCTGAACATAAGGAAAAACTTCTTTACCGTCCGAGTCCCCAGGGCCTAGAATAGACCTCCCCCCCAAAGGTGGTGCAATTGCCTACTCTGGACACTTTCGAGAAACACTTGGATGCCTATCTTGCTGGGATCATTTGACCTGAGCTGACTTCCTGTTCCTTGAGGAGGGGGATGGACCCAATGATCTTGTGAGGTCCCTTCCAGCCCTAATGTCTATGACATCTACGAAATCAATGTATCCTGTATGACTGGAATGGTCTGAAGTCTTACTTATTGTACTTCCCCAGCTACCTCAAGTTTACCTACAGTTCAAGTATAGCAAATGAGACATTGTTATTTCAACAGAATTCTAGCTGGCCACATACAACTTAATTATTATAACATTAGTTGTTACTTTTAGCTGCTGTTAGGTACTTTCCATAAAATAAGTTATTCATTCTTGACCTAGCCTAATATTAGTTGTCTTAATAAACAGATTCTTATTCTTCTTTTCCAAGTTACAATTTCTGATTTAAATAAAAGCTTATTGATTATATACCAGTTTAAGCATATAATTTTGCTAGGTCTGTAGTCTGCACCAGTCAGTGTGGTCTATCAGTCACTGAACATGCCTACAGCCTACATCTTCCATTGATTTCAGGGCCATTTGGCATCACATTTGGACTAATGCATTTTTGGCTCTGGCAGCCATTTTGAACAATGGTATTCATGAATTATTTTTGGGGGGGAAACAACAACATACTTTGGCTACTCTGGACCCTCCCACCCCCAATAATTTATTTTAAGTTATTAAAGGGCTTCTGGTAAGGAATAGATTGATTCAATTTTGAGATATAGGTATGTGCTGGCTAGTTCTCCTTTTCAAGAAGGTTTATGAAGGTTGTACAACTCAGAATAAAGTTGTAGGGACAGAGTAAACAAGATGTGTGAATGTATATTATATGCATGTGGTTATATACTTGTTTCTATTTCAAGTAAATTCTTTTAAATATTTGTGCAAAGTCTTGGTAACAATGGGGAAAAAAACGAGTGAAAACAATTATATATAGAAACATTTATTTTAGAGACTATTTTAATGCATTTATTATTTTAAATAAAATAATTTAATTGCCCAAGTCTTAATGACAAAGGAAAAGAGGTAAATATAATTTAATCATGAATCATTTTTATTTTTGGAAAAATTATATTTTTTGCAGTTGGTATACTTTAAAATGAGGAAGTTTAATTTGTTCAAAGCCTTCGTGACAAATGAGTAAGAAAGGGGTGTGCGTATGTATAAATAAATTATAACAAATAGAATATTTTATAAAAAAAAAAAACACATTTCTGTAGTTCGTAAAATTGTTAACATATTCATTAAATAATTGAGCAAAACTGCTAGTACAGTGCTAAACAAAAATACTTAGTCACAGAGGAATAAAGCAGTAGTGCTAATGCATATAATGATTAGGCAGCTAGTGCATTTCTGTAATGCAATGAAAACAATTGAACAAAATCTGAATAAGAGGAATCATAAAAGGTTATAGTGACTCACATTTTCCTGAGCCAACCATTCTCTTTCCCAACCTCAATTATTCACTGTAGCATGTTAAACTGTCTATGAAAGCTAAAATACCAAAGAACCATATATCTAGATTTGTTCTTCAAAGTTTTAACAAACACTGTAAACACTTCCCAGTTAGCCGTGTGTGTGTAATTATGGGATATCTCTTTCTACACAGTTCCTTTAGCAACTGTCTTTAAAAACAGGTAAAGAACTCTCAAAGGACTCACTCCCCTGGGCTTTTATTCTAAATTCCCTGTATTCCAGTAATGCCATGTTTCTTAATCTTTTTTTATTTACTGAACATTAATGCTGGCTGCCTTGCATTGGATTAAAGCCTTTTCATTTCAGCATATGTTGGAAGGACAGATTAATAAGAAAAAAGTCCCAGAACCATACAAATAGCTATAGGCCCTTTCCTGCAGTGCAAACATTCAACCCCACTTTCCCAATCAAGTGTATATACCTAAAGCAATGATTTACTGGTGTCTGGGAAACCCATCTCACACACACCAGCCTGTCCATTTGGCCTGCCAGCTGCAAGACTGAAGCAGGATCCCCTGAGCAAACAGTCCTACTTAACTCCTAATAAAAAGATCAGAAGGAAAATGAGAGGTGGGTTGCCCTCCTCCCCCCAAAAACAAACAAACCCCAATGTGCAGAGCAGCTTTAGCAGTTGTAGCACGAATACCGATGCCTCTGGAAGCGCGTGGCCACCCGCTCTAGTGCCTGCTGCCAGTTAGAGCAGTTTGTCCTGCCTCTTCCTGACAGCAGGGGGAACTGCTGAGCAACCACCCTGGCTGCGGGAAAGCCAGACTGTCCAGCACAGCGTTGAACCGGGTGCCCATTGGCTACTTGACTGCAACACACAGAACAGCTGTCAGCCACGTTCTGAAGCTGTGCATCCAGGTCTGGGAGCCTCCTACCTTCCTCACATCACTGATGCCAGCCTCCAGGCTCGAGCTTCTGGTGTAGATGCACCCCCGCAAGCCCACTGGAGCTAGACAGGAAGAAAAGTTGCTGCTGGCTCTGATCACATAGATACTGTCTGGGGTGAAAAAGTTGGAGGCGGGAGCCCTGGGTGTGTGCAGGGGGGAGGAGGATGGCTGTTTCTTCAGATAACAGGGTCAGATGTCATTGCCTTTTATCTCTGGCCTTCAGGCACTGTTTTGTCCTCTAACCCTTTCTTTGTTTTGTAGTTGTAAAGACTTTCTGTAAAGGAGTGAGCTCTGTGCTCCCCTCTGGAATCGGAGCCTTTCTTTATACCCCACTGCTAAGCCTTTTAAGACTTTATTTAAAATTGCAATAACTACATAAATCCCTCTGCAAATAAAGAAAGCATTACATCAGTATTCATTCATTTTATTTTTAAGTTTTCCTGTATGGAAATACTTTAAAGCACTCTTTTTCCAAAATTGCTCTCAAATATTTTCTCCTACAGAAGCCAAATATTTTGTTTTCTCAAAACAGCTAGGGAAGTACAAAAATACATGTTCATGTACGATACCCAGGTGCTCTGAACTGGCAGAAAGGTGGAACAAAGGCAAAAAAAATAACCATGGAAACTTGTCGAAAATATACAGGGAGTAAAAGGTGGAGCTAAAACCACAAAGGAGTTCCAGAATGAAGTTCTGACAGCCAAAAATCAGTCATTTGGGGGAGGGTCTCAATTGCTGAAAAAAGTTGCCCCTGTTCCTTAAGAGTTTTTTAACGTACAACTTACACTATACACAATGTATTAGTTGTTGATAAAACAAATGGAGAAGGTTAGTAATGAAATACAGCCAAGAAAATTTGCAATGGCTCTAACTCAATGTAAAGAGAAATTAGAGCAAAGTTTGCATGGTAACTTTTTCCTCTTTTGAAATGTTTCCACTTTTTTTCTTAGCCAAGGGTTGCTTTTAAAACAATTTCCATAATACTTTGAAACATTTCCATCCCTCTAAAGCTGTAGATTGGATTAAATACTAACCTCGAGGAGTTTGTGCCTGGCTAACAGGTGTTTCAGTTTTGTCATTATTTTAAAAACATGAAGCAATTCTTTTCTTTGAACTAGAATCTCCTAAAAAAAAAATTAGTTCAGCTTTCCATGTTCAAGAAGACTGCACAAGTCCTGAAGAATGCAACTGTTTGGATTTTGTCCTTTATTGAATGTGACTCCTAGTTAATGAATTATAATTTTATCAACAAGAAATAACTCTGACTGTGTGCAGCTGCATCTAGGCTTACATATTTTGCTTAGTCACAAGATTGACATGTTTTGTAACACCCGGTACAATAGCTATGAATCACTGTTGTTTTCTGAACACATGCCCTACTTCTCCTTCTACATATTGTCGGTGTAACTCCACTGAATTCAGTGAAGGTCCCCACACCACTGTCACTGAAAGAAAAATCCAGCTCACAGAACTACAGTCCCTGATGTTTCTCTTTTAGATAAAACCACAAGAGAGTAATCCTCACTCTAGTTTAGAAGGAAATATGACATTTCACATAGACTGCCCAGTTCTCAGCTATAGGCTAGGAACAGACATTACACATAAACCAGTTTAAATGATCAGAAACTGGTTTAAATCTGTAACAGAATGTAAATTCAGTGCACATAAACCAGTTTCAAAATGGCTGAAACTGGTTTAAGATAAACCTGGTTGAATGTAGTATCAGACTTAACTGATTTGGGTCAAACTGGTTTATGCAATGTCTGTTCCAGATCCCTTCCTGGTTTAAGTTAAACCAGAGTCCCCCAGCATCCCAGCTGCTTTGCAGCCCGGGGCTGGGCTGTGCTGTCTGCTCCAGAGAACAGGGCTGGCTGCCCCTCTGCTCCCTAGTCAGAGCTTTGGCAGAGACTGCAGGCATAGTAGGGTCTGCCATGTTTCCCCCTGCCCCCAAATTGCTGCTCAAGCAGGGATTCCCCCCTCCCTTCCACCCATCTCCCATAGCACAGACCCTAGGCATGTAGTATGCTAGCTAATGCTGAGGGTGGGGGTGTGCCTCCAATTGCACTGGGACAAGACACAGGCATACAGGACAATATCTGCTTAGGGCTTTTTGGAGCTCATCAGCAGGTCAACTAGCAATGTCCCTCTGTTCCTTGGAAAAAGCTGTTTAAGAAGAGCTTGAACTAATGAGAGAGACTTTTGCTTTCTTGTTGGGCTGAAAAACGCTGTGTTATCAGCCCCTTGCTGGTTCCCTCACTGCAGGGAGAAGGGAGACTGAGAAGCTCACTATTATGAACACATGCATGCACTGCCTCAGATTGCTAGCCAGGGGCTGGGGTCCGGCAACACTCTTGCCCTGTGAGCAGTGAGCAGTGGAAAGCTTGGGACAAAGCAGGCAGGGTGGGGGTTTACACTCTTCCCTAATTTGAGCATCCTGCAAGGGCCTGGCCATGCTCCCCTCAGTTTAGCAGTATGGAAGGGAAGGGAGGGCTACTCTAGCAGCTCCCAGCTTCTAGCCTGAGCCACTGAAGGCATGTGCCTGCATCTTCAGTCCAGAGGGGATATCTGTGCAGCTACAAACTGGTTCAATCTAGCCTGGTCAGACTAACCTGCAAAGATTGAATCAATTCAGGCTCAGGCTTTTTGAATGTCTGTCCCTAGCCAGAGAGAACAAAGTCTACCTGGGTTTGTAGACCAGGTAGGGTGGAGGGGAAGCAGCAACCCCACTCAATCTGGACTCTCTAGAAGACAAGGCTAAAGTCTTCCCAGGGTGAAGGGGAGACAGCCACCAGCACTACCAATCAGTAATTGACAGCAAGGGTAATGTCCCAGAGCAAGCTGGGGAGGGCAAGGCCGGGGTAGCTGATGTGGTATGCTCCTGCCTTTAAAAATTCTTTTCCTTGAGTCCAAGATCCCACCTCATGTTGCCTCTGACTTGTTCTCCTTTCATAGTCCACTCTTAACTTTTCTGATCAGGATGAAGGAAAACAGGCCCTGATAGACACATACAGCTATCCTTTTCCCTACCCTTTGTCATGACCCAAAGGCATGATTTTGTGTGTGCTTCGGCACCAGAATTATCCCCGCCAAGTTGCAGCTTCATTGCGCGGGAGAGTTTCCTGTTGCAAAGGAAAACCCCGGTGCAGGGACGAGTTTCCCGCCTTTCTGCAGCTTCTTTTGCAGAGTGCATTGCTCAAGTTGCAAGAGAAATGCACGGTGCAAAAGAGTTCCCGCCACCGGTATGCAAGTTCGTTCCCCGCTGTTGGCTGGTTTTAAATTGTTCCCACGTGGCGGCTAACAATTGGCCTGTTAGCCGTATAAGAGGCTTGAGCAGTTTCCGCCCAAGCCAAAGAGGACTCCACATCCATCTCGTGGGGACTCTGGATACACAGCAGGGTAATAGAGACCCTGTGTGAGATTCAGAGGAGCTTGGAGACCTGATCCATCGCCCACCTCTTCCCGTCTTCGAGCGCAAATTTTATAAGACATATCTCCGAGAGTCCGATTTTGGTGGCGCGCTCACCCAGAGCATCCGGAGCTCTGTTCCGTGGAGCCTAGCAA